GCCACATCAAAATTAAAAGGAATGTTTATTCAAAACATCTATCATCATCACAAAGTGAAAAGACTAACATTACCGATAAAAACTGCTCACAATGCACTCCAAAAAACTGCTAATGAGCAATATAAAAAAGCAAAAAATATTTAACAAGATGGTAATGAAACTCAGTGTTGCTTAACTCGTACTGGTAATCATGACAAGAGATTTCAAATATACATTACTGGAGCACAGAGACATTTATTAGGAAACATCCGCCACAAAAAAAAACATGATGTTTGATAATTAAAATTTACATTAATTACTAAAAACTGTTTACATATAATCACGACTTTCATCACAAACCGCTTGAAATTATAAAAAACATAAAGGAAACATTTAGAGAATTTTTAGAAAAGAACTTGACCGTACATCGATCGGCTGATCAATCGTGGATCATTGATTGCTCAATCAATTTGATTTATTACCTAAAATACATAATATCATAAAAACAACGCAAATCCTATGTTGTAAATAGTGACTATAGAAGTAAAAAACCTATGTTGTACGAATACATACTTTACATAGTCAGAGCTACGCATAAACAACCCCTTTATTTTCTTTTCATTGTTTGCCAAATGTTCGCCTTCCGTTATAGAATGATCAGTACGAAAATAGCTCAAGCGGAGTATTCTTAACTCTTATCACAACAGCGACCACTAGGAGATGAAAAAACTAACAGATGCTTGGTTTGGTAAAAGAAATTAATAACTGAATAGATAATTGTGCCAAGTGCTTAATGCAAACAGATTTTAGTTGATACGATTAATCTGTGAATTTGGTTGTTCATAATGGAGAGCGATCTTGCGCAGGGATGAGTCTCGCAGCAAACAAAGCGGACCTCTCAAATACGCCAACAGTGGAGACAAAGGCAAATTTCGTGTTAGAAACTGCGTACGAACTTCATCTCACAAATGTACTTTCGACGATGTAAAACATAAAGGTTAATTGGAAAGTTTTATGACTCGGAAACTCTCATGACCTCGCAACAACGTGCGCGCTACGAAGTCAACTTATGTTTTTGCAAACGTAACCCATATCAATTATATTATGAACAGTTTCATTCAAGTAAGGTTTCAAGAATATTTTGACAAAGAAAAGTTCTCTGACGTGCACATGCGATTAATTATAGAAATGATAAACAACTGTGTTTGGCTAGTTCAAGCAAAAAAATTTCGGAAAAAAAAGAAACTTTCCACATCATTCAACTTTTGTATAAGGGCACCTCCATTTTCTATGAAAATCTGCGTCAGCCAATCCTTACAAAGCCTGTGAGCGCAAGGATGATCGAAGGTGTGCGGCAGTACCGACACCACCAAATACCTTTTCAGCGGGGTTTGGTGCTTATATTTTCAGCACCCCTGCTGCCGCTTTTGAAAACTTTGCACATCCTATAGAGAGAAAGAGTTCTGCAGAAAAAAGTCCGGAAGCAAGGATAAGCCA